AGTTGAATTGGAAGAATTGAAGAGACAGCTTGATGATTTGAGGATGAAAGGTTTCATCCGACGGAGTGTGTCACCGTGGGGCGCACTGGTCTTATTTGCGAAGAAGAAAGATGGATCTTTGAGGTTGTGCATTGATTATCGGAAGTTAAATCATGCCACTATCAAGAACAAGTATCATTTGCCAAGGATAGATGATTTATTTGAACAGTTGAAGGGAGCCAATTGTTTCTCGAAGATTGACTTGAGGTTTGGCTATTATCAATTGCGGGTTAGGGATGAGGATATCCCAAAGACAGCATTCCGTACACGGTATGGACACTATGAGTTTCTTGTTATGCCTTTTGGCTTGACTAATGCGCCAGCGGCATTCATGAACTTGATGAACCGCCTCTTTCACGATTACTTGGACCAGTTTGTGGTAGTTTTCGTGGATGACATTCTTATGTACTCACGGACTCGGGAAGATCACGAGGTCTATTTGAGTATTGTTTTACAGATTTTGCGGGAGCACCGATTGTATGCCAAATACGAGAAATGTGAGTTTTGGCTACAGGGGGTGAAGTTTTTGGGGCATGTTGTTTCAGAAGGTGGAGTATCAGTTGATCCATCAAAGGTTGAAGCAGTTTTGACTTGGGAGCGACCCAAGAATGTGTTTGAGATCCACAGTTTCCTTGGTTTAGCGGGTTACTATCGGAGATTTGTAAAGGATTTCTTCCATTTGGCAGCTCCTATGACCCGTTTGACCCGGAACGGGGTTAAGTTTGTCTGGAATGAGGCCTGTGATTCATCTTTTCAGGAGTTGAAGACGAGATTGACTACAGCTCCAGTGTTGGTGATACCTGAGCGTGGCTTGGGTTATGTGATCTATTGTGATGCTTCACGTGACGGGTTGGGATGTGTGTTGATGCAGGATGGTAGAGTAATGGCTTATGGGTCTCGACAGTTGAAGACTCACGAGTACAACTACCCTACTCATGACCTGGAGTTAGCGGCAGTTGTGTTTGCCTTGAAGTGTTGGAGACATTACTTGTATGGTGAGAGTTTCGAGGTATTTTCAGATCACAAAAGTCTCAAGTACCTTTTTTTCCCAAAAGGACTTGAACAACAGACAGAGATGATAGGTTGAGTACTTGGAAGATTACAACTTTGATTTGTAGTATCATCCGGGCAAGGCAAATGTTGTAGCTGATGCCTTAAGCCGAAAATCTCATGGAACTTTGGCCAGTTTAGCTATTCGGAAGTGGAAGATGCTTGAAGACCTGGCAGAGATGGGATTGTATTGTTTTGATGACGATGTTGACAGCGAGCCGGCATTCTTGTTTAGTCTTATGGCTCAGCCTACTCTTGTTGTACGAGTGATTGAGTCACAAAGACAGGACCCAGACTTAGATGCCATCCACGCTTTGATCTCTAGTGGTGAGACAGTGAAAGATTGGGCCTTGCATGCAGATGGGGGTCTACGGTTCAGGGGTTTGTTGGTGGTTCCCACATGTTGTCGTGAGGACGTCCTACGGGAGTTTCACACTTCTCGCTTTGCAGTTCATCCAGGTGGTACTAAAATGTATCACAATTTGAGACGTCAGTATTGGTGGAACGGGATGAAGAATGATGTTGCACAGTTTGTGGCTAGATGCCTTACCTATCAGCAGGTGAAGGCCGAGCATCAGAGGCCAATAGGTTTGTTGCAACCATTACCTGTAGTGCAATGGAAATGGGAGCATATTGCTATGGATTTTGTGACAGGTTTTCCAAGGTCAAGAAGGGGCAATGAGGCTGTATGGGTCATCATTGACAGATTGACCAAGACGGCTCACTTTTTGCCTATTAAGGCAACAGATGATGCAGAGAAGCTTGGTGTTCTTTATGTGAAGGAGATTGTAAGGTTGCATGGAGTTCCTGTAACCATTGTGTCAGATAGGGATGCTACGTTCACTTCGAAGTTCTGGGAAGGACTTCAAGTAGCGTTGCATCTTAGTACGGTATTCCATCCACAGACGGACGGTCAGTCGGAGCGTACTATCCAGATTTTGGAGGATATGCTTCGGGCATGTGTGCTTGACTTGGGTGGTAGTTGGGAGGATCACCTTCCACTTATTGAGTTTGCCTACAACAACAGTTATCAAGCGAATATCCAGATGGCTCCATTTGAGGTGTTGTATGGTAAACCTTGTAGGTCTCCTATTTGTTGGACTGAGGTAGGTGAGACAACCGCCTTTGACCCGACATTGTACTCGAGACTACTGAGAAGATTAAGTTGATAAGACAGAGGTTACTTACAACTCAGAGCCGACAGAAGAGCTATGCGGATAAGCGGAGACGACCGTTATCCTTTGAGGTGGGAGACCACGTTTTTCTACGGGTTTCTCCACGGAAGGGATTGATGAGATTCGGAAAAAGTGGCAAGTTGTCGCCACGATTTATTGGACCGTTTGAGATTCTGGACCGAGTAGGAGAGGTTGCCTACAGGCTTGCTTTGCCACCACAGTTGGATAGGGTCCACAATGTTTTCCATGTATCAATGTTACGGAAGTACGAACCGGATCCATCTCACATTTTGAGTTGGGTAGATGTGGACATTGATGAGGATGTTTCCTACGAGGAAGGACCAGTTCAGATTCTTGACACACAACAGAAGGTGTTGAGGAACAAGACGATACCAATGGTGAAAGTCCTTTGGAGACACCACGGAGTCGAGGAAGCTACTTGGGAGCTCAAACAAGAGGTTCGGTCCAAGTACCCAGCATTGTTTTCTTCCTCAGGTATGTCTTGATTTCGGGGACGAAATCCTTATAAGTTGGGGAGAATGTGATGTCTGTGTATTTTATTGTGTGTGTGCAGTGTAATATAAAAGTAAAAGAAAAATAATTTAATGGTGGGGCCCACAAGGCACTTTAGAAAAGGGTCAAGACCATAAAGTTGGTCTCGTTTTCCTGATTCCCTTTTTCTCTCTTCGTGCATCTCTCTCTCAACCCGTAAGCTCATTTTTCTCTTATTTTTTGGTTTCAACTTTGAGGTTAGATTTCTCACTCATTTCTTGTTGGAATTAGGTTCCGTTTGAGGCAAAATGAAGCTCGTGTCAAGCTCTATACATCCATACCATCAATTTCCAATTTTGAGTCTTCCTTGGAGCTCGAATTTGAGGACCTATTTTTTAGGGTTTTGGTGCAATCTTGAGGTAGGGGTCCTTAATTCATGAAATCTTGTACCTTAGTGAGTTAATTGCCTCTAATTGTTGTTTAATTTGATTAGTTGTTTAAAATCTAGAGAATTGTTGATATGTATGCATATATGTTAGTTGTGTGACTATATTTGTTGATGGTTCTATGTGAAACATGTTTAGGACTTGATTATATATGTTCATTGCGCTAGAACTTGTTATGTATAAGCATGTTATGACCTTCTTGATTATTCTTGCGAATTATGTCATGTTGCTTAAATTGGATAAAGTATGGAATGATGAACTTGTGTATGTCATTGAGGTATTCATGCATTAACATTGGGCAGGAAAAGGGAAAGAATTGATTTACTTCAAAAAGGGGAAATTTCGAGAAAGTGTTTTTGATGAAATGATTTTATGCGAAACCCGGTCGCTGCGGGGTTACCAACGGGCCGGAGGTTAATATAGCCTAGAGGGGACTAGGGAGTCGCCCTAGTGTGGTTGAGCTAGATGGGCCCCATAATGACGCCGCGGGGTTACCAAGGGTCAGGGACACTAGCCAATCCTCCTCTCGTGTCGCGGCGGGGTTACCAAATGGTGGGCTGTATTAACGTTTGAAAGTGATGGTTTTGAGAATGAAAATGGGGAGTGTCATTGACATGCATTGCATTTCATTGCATTGCATTGCATTGTTTATAATTGGAATTGAATTGTATGTTGTATTTGATCCCCTACGTTGTATGATCCCTATCTCCCATTGGCCTATGCTTTGCTTGAATTCACAAGGACACAAGATTTGTGTCTTAAGTGTCTCTGCTGAGCTATATGCTTACCCCTATATCTATATATATTTTTTTCAAGTCTTGGAAAAGAACCGGTGGGCGGCAATCCACCCCAACTTTGAAAGTTGCTAGAGGAGCATTTTCCTTGTTATTTTGTAATAGACTACTCCTTGTTCATCCCTCATTTTTTGTAAAATTCCAAAGGTGTAATGATGTAAATTTCTTTTGAAGAACCATGATCATGTAATACACTTATGATACTTGATCACATATGGGATGCGAACTTGATGATATGTAACTTGTTGATGAATGGAAGGATAATCATAACTTGAAGCATTGTCTAGATTAGTAGGTTGTATCATTATCTTTTGTTGCCGTGAATTCGGAAATTAGTTGCATGACAGGTTAAATATGCATTTAAACAGGTTGCGGTAGGTCCATTTTTAGGGGAGGTTATGCCGAATTTTTTTTTAAAAAAAAAATTATTGGCATTAGTTTTGGGATCATTACATCTCTCTTCTTCTCTCTTCATTCTTTCCTTTTCTTTTCTTGCTATATCCATTATCTCCCCCTTTCTATTCTCTTGTTACGTTACTATATTTTGTTTACACAAAGTCCTTTTAACTAAAGCAATATTGAACTCATTTAGGAGTTTATTTGTTTTTTATCTCTTATAATCGCCTGAAGTCAACATTCCCTAAGAGACTATAAGTTGACAACTCACAATTAAACCGTATATTTGGTTCTGGCACGTCCGCAATTCATCAATTTAAGATTGGCTCTAGCCAGCCAATTTTAGGGTCAACAGTATCAAGGTGTCTTTTATGCTCTCCTTTGAAATTCCGGATGAACTTGAACGGCGAAGTGCGCTTTGGCAGTCCATTTGATCTGTTCAAAAAGTCCAATATTAGTTTGAATTGACTCAATTGAGAGACTTTCTAACTTCTTAGTCTTCTCTTCTGTCTCCTCTGACCTTGCACCTTCCAATCCACACAAACACACACACATACACACAAATTCAGTACTTTTCATTCTCGGAACATTACCAAGTTCAATATGCTCTCATCCTCATCGAGGACTTAAAAAGTTTCTAAACTATTGAAAGCCCTCTCTGTATTAAACTTTTCTCTTGAAAAAATGGTTTTTAAGTTCTTAAAATTCGGTAGAAATAACCGCCCACCTGCGGTAGAGTCGCCCAAAAATACTGTCCCCGCATCTGAATCAGCAGCCATGGAATTAATCTTCCGCTGCAGTTCAACTGCATCAGGAGAGACGAAAGAAAGAGTGATTCTAAATGGCTACATTTCATCAAAAATTGATCAGTATTTACAAGCCGTGGACAAAATTCAACAACAGACAGAGTCCGGAACGATCTCAATTGACGATCAGAGCAAACCCAACAGTGTGATCCGAATCGCTATGGTTCAACTTGAAAAGGAATTTCGAGTCATCTTAATCAGCCTCACCAGTCCAACCGATACCAATCCAAGTAGGTCTTCCACATTTTCGAGTTCCATAACCGATAGTTCTCTTAGCTACGGCGACTACGATTGTATAGAGTTGAATCCAAAGAAAAAAGATGACCTCCGCAATATTGCTGAGAGAATGAACTCTGCCAGATGTCTTGACAAGTGCATCCAGGTGTACAAGAGTGTAAGGAAGACTTTCTTGCATGAGAGTTATCGAAAATTGGGAATGCAGAATGCAAGTATCAAAGACATCCGGAGTTTGGATTGGGAAGCGTTGAAGGCGAACATCGAACGGTGGATACTTGTTGCTAAGATTTGTGTTAGGAGTCTGTTTCCAAGGGAGAAAACACTCCATGAGCAAATTTTTCGAGGTCTTGTCATGGATGATGCCTGTTTCGTGGAAGTGGTTAAAAATCTTCTAACTCAGTTACTTACCTCCGGTGAAGCCATCATCATATGCACAAGCAGCCCATCAAGACGCCCAGAGAAGTTATTCAAAATTTTGGAACTCCATGAATCGGTGTCAGAACTTTTGCATAATTTCGACATCATTTTTCAGTCCAAATCATTTGAATCAATCCAAATTCAAGCTGTTAAGATGCTAATGCAGCTTACCGAGGCTTCAAGAGATATTCTATCAGAATTTGTAACTACCATGCTTCGCGAGGAGTCGAAGATTCTGGATAACAGAGGTAGCATTCCCAGCTTGACAAGGTACGTCATGAGCTATATTACTTGGGCAACTTTCTATGAGGAAAAGCTAAATAAATTGATGGTATCAAAGCCATCAGAGCTCAAAGCTAGGAGAAATTCCAGTGTTGTGACAATTCCAGATATAGATCTTCCAGAACTTGATGATCGCACTCCACTGGTGATCCATTTGATTTGGATCATTGAAATTTTACAATTCAAATTGGAGTCGAAGTCCAAGCACTTTAAGGATGCCTCTTTGGCTCAAATTTTCATGATGAACAACGTACACTATATTGTTCAAAAGATTAAAGATTGCTTGAAATTGCAAGAAATGGTTGGGGACGATTACTTAGAGAAGCTAATGGCAGTGACTAGTTATCGGAGATCAACTTATGACAGAATCATCCGTTGCTTTAGAGGGGAAGGATTGTACGGGAGTGGGAGTACATCATTTTGGATGTCAAAGAGTGCGTTGAAGGATAGGTTGAAGACCTTCAATGCCATGTTTGAAGAGGTTCATCGAACTCAAGCAACATGGTTCATATCGGACAAGCATCTTCGAAAGCAGCTTCACTCTTCCATAATAGAGTATTTGATTCCAGCCTACAGGTCCTTTCTCGAGCTCTTCAGGAGACATATAAGAAGTGGAAGTCAACAAGAATACATCAAGTACTCGGTTGAGGATCTTGAGGCTTCCATTTGGAGTTTGTTTACGGAAGCCTAATACACCAGGAGAAGATCTCATGATTTACCAATTTTATGTGTTAACATATTCTATTTTCTTCTAGGAACGTTAAATAATTCAATGGAATAAATTTTGTTTTAAATTTTACTTTCAATTCTTAAAATCCAATGAAAGTAACAAGCCACCAGTGATAGAGAGACAAAATGTTCTCATGGACTAATGGAGGTACTCTTGCGCTGCGGCGGATCCACGTACTGTATCAGAGGAGACTGGAGTTAGGCCAAGCCTCACACTCTCGATGCTTCTGCATTTACAAGCATGAAGTTTATTTGTTGTATTCTCGATTTGGTTTCCTTTCTCCTTGACTAGCAATTCAAGGAAGGGTATTAACACAGGACAGTCCTTCCATGGACTTCACAATGCAACCAAATGTGTGTGCTCTGTGTCTGTGTGTTGCTGAGAGTCATGAACACATTTTCCATCAATGTTCATACTCAAAATTTATTTGGAATGGCCTGCAACACAAATGTGGGTTTTACACAAAGCCTAATTCATGGCAGGAGTTTTTAATTTGGGCTTCATCAAATTGGAAGCAGAAATTGAAGTTCAGCAGGATACTCACTTGGAAGCTCATGCTAGCATGTTATGCATACCATATATGGAGAGTGGAACAATAGAATTTTTCGAAATCAATGCTCAGGGCTTACCTCCATTGCAGACAACGAATGTTGTAATCAATTCCGCGAGATTGAGGCTCTTCTCAATCAGGAAGTGTGTTTGTCCACATGCAAAGGAAATTGCCAAGGAATGGAATCTTCCAAGCTCTTTCTACGAACCAGACCACACAAACCCCTTCTTCCACTTCCCATGGACTTTTCCTGAACTTCTTGATGTGTTCCCGCCCATGGATGGGTAGAGGACTGTTATATTGGCTCTGGTTTGGGCTTTGTTATTTTGTTTTAGACATTTAGGTCAATTGGGCCTGCATGTAGTATTTCTTCTCTGGGCATTAATGGGTTGATGCTGTTTCATTGTTTCTTTTTTTGTTTTTTGTGCTTCTGATATGGGCTACTGGCCTAGTGTAACGGGTGGGCGCTTGCCCATTTACCCAAAAGCTCGAACTGTTAGGTAAGGCTGCATACCCACCTATTTATACCCAATCTCTTTCCCATCCGATTCCGATGTGGGACAAAATGACCCTTGTTACATTCTCCCCCACCCAAACTCGCAACGCCCTCGTTGCGGTTGGGCCACCCTGCCTAGCTGGGATGACTCACCCGAACGCCTTCCGGGCCGGGCGCTTGGCGTGGCACCGGATCAAGGATTGGGTCTGGCTCTGATACCAACTGTAACGGTTGGGCGCTTGCCCATTTACCCAAAAGCTCGAACTGTTAGGTAAGGCTGCATACCCACCTATTTATACCCAATCTCTTTCCCATCCGATTCCGATGTGGGACAAAATGACCCTTGTAACACCTAGTGTCATAGTTGTTAAAGGCTCAAAGCGCACAAAAGCGCAAATGTCTCCTGGAGCCTGAGGCGCAAGGCGAGGCGCGCGCCCAACTGAAACAAGACGCACGTTGAAAAAAAAAAAAACAAAACAAAACCCACCCAAGAATGTGATATATTTTCAAATCAAATCAATCTCATTTTTTTTTTTTGTTAATCTTCAATTCAAAAGATTATTGGTGGCTGATTTCTGAATCAAAGGATCAATTATGGGTCTAAATTAAACAGACAAAACTCTCAAATACAAAAAATTCAATGATAATTTGCAGTAGGGTTCGTGCGATAGGTGTCTTATAATCGGGAGCCCAGGATCAGCCAATTTATTTTTGTTCGAAGTTTGTTAAGAATTCTCCATGTTTCATCAGCTTAATTCTCACCAAAATCCATTAACATTGATTGAAACAAAATGGAAAGAAAGAACCATCCAAGCATGACCCATTTAGTATGTTTCAAAACCAAAAGAATATCATCAGTACTTAGAAAATTATGGATGGCAAATAATAAAGAAAAGAAAACTACAAAATTGGATTTCTTTTTATTATTTTTTATTTTTTATACACGTAATAACAACACTTGTGTTGTAAGACAAGTAATTACTTGGTGAAAACTTGATCATAGACAATATGATGGTGGTCCATCTGACAAATATACAATATGAAGTGAACAACATATTAACATGTTAGACAAATAGAAACTTAGAATGGAAAAATAGTGATCAACAGTCGTCACAGTGAGTCCAGAGTCCAGAGTCCAGAGAAGAAAAGAAAAAAAATAAAATAAAAAAATAAAAAAAGAAGAAAAATAAAAATAAAAATAAATCTGCCAAAGACTCGGCCGAGAGAAGAAAAGAAGAAGAAAAGAAGAGAAGAAAAGAAGAAGAAGAAGAAGAAGAAGAAAAGAAAAAAAAATCTGAGACCGGTCACCGATCCGGCAGATCCGAGAAGAGAAGGAGTCTGAGAAGAAGAAGAAGAACTAACCTTAGATCCGGCAGATGATGCAGATGCGAGACCGAGAGTCGGAGTCCAAGTCGTCAGTCGTCTCGCTGCCTCTGTCAGTCTGTCTTCTTTCCTTTCCTTTTTTCTTCTCTTTTTTATTTTATTTTTTATGTTGCAACTTGTAGCTTTTCTTTTAACTAGTAACTAATAAAATAATATGATAATAATATAAACAATACATAAACAATAAACAAACAAAACCATGGAAACAAAACCATTTAAAAAACATTTTCAAGCAGGCGCGCCTGTAGCCTCGTGCTTGTGTACAAGAGGCGTACGCCTTCTTTCAACCATGCGCCTTAAGTCAATACAGGCGATGAGATGGCACCTGGAGGCGCCTTGCGCCTCAGGCGCCTTTGACAACTATGCCTACTATTACAAGTGGGACTTGTCCCACATCGAATTTGGATGGAAATTGAAATGTGTATAAATTAGTGGGTATGCAGTACTACTTAACAATTGAAGTTTTTGAAAAAATGAACAAACGCCCACCCGTTACAATTGATATCATAGTCAAACTCAATCTTTGATCTGGTGTCACGCCAAGCATCCAGCCCAGAGGCATCCGAGTCTTATCCCTAAGGTAAGCAGGGTGACCTGACCACAACGAGGGCATTATGCGAGTTCGGGTGAATCGGAATAGGAATTGAAATCCGTATAAATGGGTGAGTGGGTTTACAGTAAACCCATATCATTGTGTTATGCCCCAATTTCTTGGTCGGGGGAGAAATTACCAAACGTCTAGCATTCCCTCACGCTTGGCGCCAATGAGGTTTGTTTTTATTTGAGAGAAAAAAGAAGACTATGCCTTCACCATATGAAATATGAATATTAAGTAATAATAGCATGGCACTTCGAATTCGATATGAGAAAATTTTTCTATTATTTTTTCAAAACATTAGATTATGTATCGAGAGAGTAGTATGAGATAAAAGTATTTCTGATTTTATCTTATCTATCGGGAGTCCAGTTCAGCGTCACAAACTTTTTTGTTTTCACACCGGAAGGCTCTTAACAATACTTATGTTATGAAAGAGTGTGAAAATCAAAAAAAGATAATGAGTACTGTTTTACCCACTCTAGCTCCTTCGAACAATCCAATTTTTCCTCCACGTTGATAAGGGGCTAAAAGATCTACTACTTTAATTCCTGTTTCAAAAATAGATAATTTTGTATCTAACTGTATAAAGGCGGGCGCAGATCTATGAATAGCAGATGTTATGCGAGTATCTACAGGACCTAAATTATCAACGGGCTCTCCAAGCACATTGAAAATTCGTCCGAGAGTAACCCCATCCAGTTGATCTTTTGAACCCGCTTCAAGACATGATGACTAATCAACCAATCTTGGGGTAAGCAGCCTTTACTGTTTATGTTTACTTTCACTTAACTCTAATCTCTTACTCATTAAGATTTAGGGCTAGTTTAGTGTGGAGGAATGAAATAGAGTGAGAATGGAATGAAGCTGAGAATGGAATGGGTATGTCCATTCCATTCTAGTGTTTGGGTGCAAACATGGAATGCAAACCAATTTAAAAGTTGGAATGGACTTAATTTACATTTATTTCTCCAAATTACCCTTTATCATGAATAAAGAAATTTAACTTAAAAAAGAAAAGAAAATAAATTTAACAAAAAAAATGAATGGTAAAAAATGAAATTGGGGCAAGCAAGATTAGGGCAAGATTAGGGCAAAAGACGCCATGTTGAGAAGCAGCATGGAATGGGAATAAAGAAATTTTACTTAAAAAATAAATAAATAAATAAATTTAACAAAAAAATTAACGATGACTGGGTTGTGACGATGATGATGGCAGCGAGTAAGGAGATGATAATGGCGGCGGAGCAAGGGTTGTGATGATGATGGCGGCGGTTGGGTTGTGTTTATGTTCCACCGTTGAGAAAGGAAATGATGATGGCGGCGGAGCAAGGGTTGTGATAATGGCGGTTGAGTTGTGATGATGATGGTGGCGGTTAGGTTGTGATGATGATGATGGCGGCTGGGCAAGGGTTGTGATGATGGCGATAGCGGCCGGAGCAAGGGTTGTGATGATGGCGGCGGCTGGGTTGTGTTTATGTTCCACAGTTGAGAAAGGAGATGATGATGGGTTGGAAGATGATGTTGGGTGGGAAGACATCGATGTTTATAAAAGAGATGATAATATGTTTTTTATTTTAGGCATTATTTTTTTAATCCTAGTGGGAATGGAATGTCCATTCCATTGGTAGAAAGATAGAATGATTTTGGTAAAATGGCCATTCTCTGAGAATGGTGGAGAATGGTGATTCCACCTTTAATAGTCCACACCAAACGCAAGAATGGAAAGAAAAATATTCCATTCTCTTTTATTTAATTCCATTCAGCCACATCAAACATGTGTTTAGGAGTGACTTTAAGAGTTGACCTATTACATAATCTCCTGGAAAAATTTGACCCCCAATCAGGGAGCAAGAATAGCAGAGCAAGTACACCACACAAACATATATTCAGTACTTAAATTATTGAAAACCCTATCTGTGTATTAAACTTTTCTCTTGATAAGATGGTTTTTAAATTCTTAAAATTCTGTAGAAATAACCAGCCAACATCTGAATCAGCAGCAATGGAGTTGATCTTTCGCTGCAGCTCGACTGCATCAGGAAAGACGGAAGAAGGGATGATTCTAAACGACCACATCTCATCAAAAATTGATCAGTACTTTCAAGCAGCGGACGAAATTCAACAACAGACAGAGTCCGTAACAATCTCAGTTGACGATCAGAGCAAATCCAACAGAGCAATCTGAATCGCCATGGCTCAACTTGAAAATGAATTTCGAGTCATCTTAATCAGCCTCACCAGTTCAACTGGTACCAATCCGAGTAAGTCTTCCACATTTTCGAGTTCTATAACTGATGGTACTCTTAGCTATGGTGATTACCATTATGATTGTATAGAGTTGAATCAAAAGAAAAAGGATGACCTCCGCAATATTGCTAGGAGAATGAAATCAACCAAATGTCTAGATAAGTGCGTCGAGGTGTATAAGAGTGTAAGGAAGACTTTCCTCCGTAAGAGTTGTCGAAAATTGGGCATGCAGAATACAAGTATCAATGACATCCGTAGTTTGGATTGGGAAGAGTTGGAGGCGAAGATCAAACAGTGGATACTTGTTGCTAAGATTTGTGGTAGAGTTCTCTTTGCCAGTGAGAAGACACTCTGTCAGCAAATTTTTGGAGATCTTGGAAGTGCCATAGATGATGCCTGTTTCTTGGAAGTGGTTAAAGATACGGTAACTCAATTACTTACCTCTGGTAAAACCATAAGCACATGCACAAGCAGCCCATCACGGCGCCCAGAGAAGTTGTTCAAAATTTTAGGCTTCCACAAATCGGTGTCAGAACTATCAGATGATTTCAACAGAATTTTTCAATCCAAATCATCTAAATCGATCCGAATTCAGGCTGCTGAGTTGCTGATGCAGCTTACTCGGGCTCCAAGAGATATTCTACTGCAATTTGAAACTACCGTGCTTCATGAGCAGTCGAGTTTTCTGGATAACAGCGGTAGCATTAACGGCTTGACAAGGTATGTTATGAGGTATATTGCTCAGTTAATTTGCTATGAGGGAAAGCTAAATAAATTGACTATATCAAAGCCTGCAAAGCTGATAGTTCAGAGTGCTGTGACAATTCCTGATATGGGTTTTTCCAAACTTGATGAGCGCACTCCACTGGCGGTCCATTTGATTTGGATAATAGAAATTTTACAATTCAAATTGGAGGCCAAGTCCAAGTGCTTAGTGAATGCCTCTTTGGCTCAATTATTCATGATGAACAATGTTCACTACATTGTTCAAACAATTGAAGAGTGCTCGAAATTGCAAGAAATGGTTGGGAACAATTACTTGGAGACGCTAACCAAAAATGTGCAGAGGGCTGTGATTGGTTATCAGAGATCAACTTGGGACAGGATCTTCCATTGCTTTAGAGATGAAGGATTATATCCGAGTGGGAGTTCATCTTCTAGGGTATCGAAGAGAGTGTTGAAAGAGAGGTTAAAGACCTTCAATGCTATGTTTGAAGAGGTATATCAGACCCAAGCATCATGGTTAGTACCAGACATGAATCTTCGAGAGGAGCTTCGCATTTCCATATCAGAGTACTTAATTCCGGCCTACATTTCCTTTCTCGAGCTCTTCCAGAGTCATATAAGAAGTGGCAGTCACCAAGAGGAATATATTAAGTACTCGGTTGAGGATCTTGGGGCTGCGATCTCGAAATTCTTCAAGGGAATCATAGTACACTAGCACTTGAAAAGATCTCAATTAAGGGAGTGATAGTGAGAAGGTAGAACCTAAGACTCAATCCTTTGAACTTAAATAATGCATTCAGTTGTTATTTTGGTCTCTCTCTTTCTACAGCTCACAAAATCACTGAGGATCATCTATCAAGATTGTCCAAGTAATTGGGAAGATCAAGCGTAGCTGGTCCAGAATTGTCTAGTCCTTCAGTCTGAAGTGCATAGTTTCATTGTATTATCTCAAACATACAAGAAAAGGTGGAATGTAAGAAAAGTTTTAATGTCACTAGCACTTAAATAGTGCATTCAGCTGTGTTTTGTGCATGTGGAATGTAACAAAATTACTACACTCTGTAACTTTTAGGGTTGCATTTGAGCAAGAAGAGCTGAGCATCTATTGGAGATTCGCTCGATCAAATTAAATAGTTAGATTTTAAGCTCGATTCGAGCCAAAACATATTTTGAGTTGGGCTAAACGGACTCCTAAATTTGAGCTTGGCCTTATTGATCTCAATATTATTAGTCAACTTGTAAAGTAATGAAAATAAATGTGAATGCCTTTTTAGTCCAGGGGTTGTGTTGTTCCCGTTGTTTTGGAAGCCCAATTCTAAATTCTAATTTAATATTCTTGTCTTGAAGAAGGAAAATATATATATATATATGAGTAATGAAAATAGTCTAAATTATATACTGTTTTCGGCTAGCACTCACTCCGATTTTAGTTGACTTTGGGTGACAATCAATATTGAAAAAATTTTTGGGGTGAAGTGCCTGATCTTGAGATTTTGGATAATTACCATTAGATTTATAGAAGTTCTACTAGAATCAACCTTAAAGAACCTTCCTTAATTAAAAAAAAAAACCCTAAAGAAACTTTAAAACCCAAAAAGTTTTTTGTACTTTTACCAAATTACCCTCGCTCTTGTTGAGTTAATTACCCTCTCTCCCGCAGCACCAGCACCGGAACCCTCTATTCTCTCCACTATCACCTCTCTCTCCTCTCCACCATCACGACTAATCACCACCCTGATCAAAACGTTCCGCCATTTCTCCTCCACACTTGACCGTTGAAGGTCAAATAACAAAACAATGGAGTCAAAAAAAAAAAAAACAATGGAGTCAAAATAAAACTTTTCAAATTAATGAAATTTTAACAAAGTCTGATATGGAGATGAAAATCCACATTATATTATTTTTTTCCCAAATTGCCCTTCCATTGTTGCTGTGAAATTGTGGTACCGCCCCTCATATGTAGAGAGAGAAAAACAGAGACGTTTGGCCAAGCCAGACCCTATTCGGCTTTCCCTATTCATCTGGTCAACCGGGGAGATTCAGCCAAGCCTCAGAGCAGTCCTCATCCTTTGGATGTGTCTAATTGCACTCTGCCTGGTTCTCCTTGTCCCCGCTTGCGGGTATGTTTAGATTAGGGTAGCGCTTTCTTCCTCTCCGAAAGTCATTTTATAGATGCAAAATCTAAGAAATTGAGGATCTTACCCAGCAAGATCCAGTTCATGGCGAGGAAGTCCATAGTGACCCTGCCCTAGGAACATTCATCTTGGGAGGACAAGGTTCTATCCTCTAGGTCTACCCGGATTGGGTATGTGACCAGAAGAGGTGGCCAAGCCAGACCCTACACGAGGTTTGCGCAGCTGAAGTGGTAATGAGGAAGAGCAGAAAGCCACATTTCATTACTCACTCACTACGGATCCAGCACAACTACATGCTGGGATTGCTAGGAAAAGCTTCGAAATGGAGGAGAGAGAGCAATGGCGGTTTTTTTTCTCTCTGCGTGTAAGAGGGGCAGTAATTTCATGACACCAATGGAAGGGCAATTTAGAAAAATATATATATATATAATATACAGTAGATGAAACATGTCCACTATGAAATTCCATTGATTTAAAAAACTTGATTTTGACTCTATTATTTTGTTCTTTGACCCACAAAATTTTATTGTTTTTTAAATTATCCTAATTTTTTTTTCTATATTTTGAGACCAAACCAAACTCTCACAGCTAAGCCAAGCCTGGCATTAACCAACGTCTTCTCTACATAGATTTACTCTCTTAATAACAATAATTCATGAATTGCACTTTCCAGCAAGAAATCTCGGGCTAATTTCTTCAAAAAGTCCTAGAGGAGTTGGAATCAAGAGAGATAATTGGGGAAGATTACATGGAGAAGATTTCTGGAAATCTCTGGTTACTAATGGCTACGGTTGCAAAAAAACATAGTACTTTTATTTTTATTTTTATTCCAAACTAGTCAGAGAGTACTTGCTTTTTTTTGTTTTTACTTTTCCCTTCCCTTCTTTTCAAGTCAAATTACATTAATTAGTCTAATGACCAAACCGCGTGGAAAGAAAATTGGGGTGTATTTCTAGTAGAAAGTTTCCTCGGTCTTCTCTCCCGTCTCCTCTCTCCTTCCCCCTTCCATTTTTCTCTCACACACACATACTATTCATTCTTGGAACATCACCAAGTTCAATATTCTCCATTCCTCATCGAGGAAGTCAAGTTTTTAAATTATTGATTTTGCTTTCTATATTAAACTTTTCTCTTGATAAGATGGTTTTTAAATTCTTAATATTCCGTCGAAATAATCACCCACCAGCAGTAGAGCCGCCCAAAAATGTTGTCTCAGCATCTGAATCAGCCCTGTCGTCAGTCAAGGTCTACGGTTCCACTGTATCAGGAGAGGTGAAAAAAGGAAGGATTCTCAATGGCGACTGCTATTTGCAAGCCCTGGACAAAATGCAACAACAGCTAAAGTCTGCAACGATCTCAAAGGATCAGAGCAAGGCCAACAACACGACTAAGATCGCTATAGCTAAGCTTGAAGACCGATTTCGAGTCACGTTAGTCAGCCACACCAATTCACCTGGTATCAAACCAAGCAAGTCTTTCACATGGTCGAGTTCCAGAACCGATAGTTCTCTTAGCTATGGTGATTTTGATTGTATAGAGTTGAATCCAAAGAAGAAGGATGACCTCCACAATATTGCAGAGAGAATGAACTCTGCCGGATGTCTTGACAAGTGCGTCGACGTGTACAAGAGTGTAAGGAAGACTTCCCTGCAAGAGAGTTATAGAAAATTGGGCATGCGGAATGTAAGTATCAATGACATCCGCAGTTTGGATTGGGAAGCGTTGGAGGCGAACATCAGACACTGGATACTTGTTGCTAACATCTGTGTTAGAAAACTTTTTGCAAGTGAGAAGACACTCTGTGAGCATATCTTTGGAGGTCTTGGAACTGCCATAGATGACGACTGTTTCTTGGAAGTGGTTAAAGATCCTGTCATTCAATTACTTAACTCTGGTAAAGCTATAAGCATATGCACAAGCAGCCCATTATGGCGCCCAGAGAAGCTGTTCAAAATTTTAGACCTCCATGAAGCGGTGTCAAAACTTTTCGATGATTTCAACATCATTTTTCAATCCAAATCATTTGAATCAATCCGAATTCAGGCTGCTGAGATGCTGGTGCAGCTTATTTTGGCTCCAATAGATATTCTACCGCAATTTGTAACTACCGTGCTTCATGCGCAGTCACGTTTTCTGGATTACAATGGTAGCATTAACATCTTAACCAGGTATGTTATGAGCTATATTACTAAGGTAACTTGCTATGAGGAAAAACTAAACAATTTGATTGTATCAAGGCCATCAAAGCTGAAAGCTATCAGAAATTCCAGTGCTGTGACAATTCCAGATTTGGATTTTCCCAAACTTGATGAGCGCACTCCGCTGGCAGTCCATTTGATTTGGATCATTGAAGTTTTACAATTCAAATTGGAGGAAAAGTCCAACTGCTTAGTGGATGACTCTTTGGCTCAATTATTCTTGATGAACAATGTTCACTACATTGTTCAAACAATTGAAGAGTGGTCAAAATTGAGAGAAATAGTTGGGGACGATTACTTGGAAAAGCTAACCAAAAGTGTGCAGAGGGCGGTGACTGGTTATCAGAGATCAACTTGGGACAGGATCTTCCATTGCTTTAGAGTTGAAGGATTATCATCTAAGGTATCGAAGAGTGCGTTGAAAGAGAGGTTGAAGATCTTCAATGCTATGTTTGAAGAGGTTCATCAGACTCAAGCAACATGGGTGGTACCGGATGTGTATCTTCGAGAGGAGCTTCGTTTTTCCATATCAGAGTACTTGATTCCGGCCTACAGGTCCTTTGTTGAGCTCTTCAAGAGACATATAAGTAGTGGAGGCCAGCAAAAGGAATACATTAAGTACTCGGTTAAGGATCTTGACGCTGCAATCTCAAATTTCTTCGAGGGAAGCATAGTACACTAGCATCTGACAAGATCTCAAGGAAGGAGTGGAAGAATGATAGTAACAAGGTAGAACCCAAAACACATTCCTTTGATGTTAAATGGTGTCTTCTCATATCTGTCTTTCTACGAATATACAGCTCTCAAAATCACTGCGGATCATCTATCAAAACTGTCCGAGTAATTGGGAAGATCAACATAGCTGGTCCAGAATAGTTTCAGTCTGAATGGTATTGTTTCATTCATCAAACAAACAAAAAAAGGTAATGATTCTTCAATAGATTTTGATGAGCTGACATCATGTTAAAGATTCTATGAGTCATTTTTCTTTTATATTATTTATGTGACCTACTTAGAATAGAGTAGCATTGCTGAAAAAAATTTAACAAACTCACTGAATTGCAATGAAGTGTCTTGTATGCCTGCATTGGTTCTTCTCCATACCAGCTTTATAGATATGTGGAAGGAAGGCATGCCTTCAATATATGTGTTTTGTGCATGTGGAATGTAACTAAATTATTACACTCGCAATTTTTAGGGTTGCAGTTGAGCAAGAAGAGCTAAGCATCTATTGGAAGCCAAAACATGATTGTTTTACATAGTTTTTAAGCTCGATTGGAGCCAAAACAATGATTGTTTAAGTTAACACTGCTCGCCAAATTCAAGCTTACCTTCGCTGATCTCAATATTATTAGTTAACCTATAAAGCAATAAAAAAAAAGGTATCTTATACTGATGTCTACCGGGAATTGGCCTAATTACAAAGGTATCAACTTTTTTTTTTTCTTTGAGATTTTAGTTAGCATTGGGTGACAATCCCTATTGTAAATCATTTGTCCACTCCATCAATATAATAAACTTTGGAGTACTTAACCCTGACATCCTTGAGATTTTGGATAATCACCATCATATTTAAAAGTTCTACTAGAATCACTCTTAATTGAACAGTTAAATCCCAACAAATTTATGCTTTTACCAAAATACCCTTGCTGTTGTTGAGCTAATTACCCTCTCTCCACCACCACCTCCCTCTTTCCCTCTTCTTTCCACCACCACTTGGCCGCCGGCACTCCAAACTCTCTATTCTCTTCACTATCACGACTAGTCACCACCATGGCCAACTTCACACCACCTTTACCAGAATGCTCTGTAATCTCTCCTCCACACCTGACCTTCTGTTTATTAACTTTTTCTAATTTTTTTTTTTTTTAATACTAAATTAAACATCTCACTGCTAAGCAGCATTCACCAATGTCTTCTCTATAGATTTAACTCTCAAAGCATACCGGGAAATGCTCGACCCCATTAAGTGAAATTAACAATAATTCAAGAATCGCACTCTCCAATAAGAAATATGAGGTCATTTTCTTCTGGGATTCATCTCCCTAAATAAGCTAAAACTATGAACCCAGTTACAACCGATGCTGATGTTGAATCGATTGTAATTCACTGTTATCCCGTCACTCCCGTGTAAATTGACATATTTATTCAATACGATTACATCAACAGTAATAAGTAACAAATCACTATTGAACAAAAACCCAGATTTAAGGTCGAGAATGGAACCTGAGGGCGTGAAATCACACCAACCGTGAGACTACTTGCTGAAGAACCGGTGCCATGAATTGTAAGGAACTGAATTCACGATGGCGAGGTGGTAGCTGGAAAAGCAGTCTCATTTGGACGAGGAGGTGCCGCGAGGGTCCATGAATCGCGAAGAAAATGAAGTGGTGGTCGGAATCTATGGTGGAGGCGGTGGTGGTGATGGGCAATTTCCTCTCGCCTCGTCCCCAATTTTTCCTTATTGACATAGAATTCGAAAGAGGAGATGGTGGTGCTAAGGGAGATTGCGGTACTGTCGGCGGTTGATTGTCCCAGCCGGCTAGCCATGTACCACAATAGCCCGTTGGAAAATGATTTGCAAAAAATGAATTGTTAGCCTTTAATTGGCCTAACAAATTTTTAAAATGGGTAAAATACAAAAAAAATAAAATAAAATAAAATGAACTATTGGGGTTTTGCCATCTAACCCCCTGAAGAAACCTCTCTGAAATTATGATTTTGTTATAATTAACCGTATCACCCAAAAAAGTAAAAGACAATGTAGTTTCAAATGATTTTGTTATAATTAACCGTATCACCCAAAAAAGTAAAAGACAATGTAGTTTCAAATAATGTCCAGCTTAAGTTAATGGCAAAGAAAATCCCACCAATCAATGGAAGAGTGACAACACAACTGAAATAAAATTACAAAAGAACCCTTAATTAAAATAAAAATTGTCAAAAATAAATAAATATATATACAGTTTACAATAAAAAGCATTCGGATAACTATTCTTATATATATAACACACGCCTTACAATAGAAAGCATAATTCTTGCTTGCCGGATACGTCGTGCAACGAGGCGTGGAGTGGCTGAGGCTCCAAAATTTTGTTTTCAATCCCCACCACCACCACCAGTATATATATATATATATATACTTAAAAGAGAGAGAAAGAGGCTGATGTATCGCATAATTATATACATATATACTTAAAAGAGAGAGAAAGAGGCTGATGTATGGCATAATTCTTGGTCGCTGAATCTGTACTGCGACTAGGCGTGGCTGAAGCGGAGTGCAATTACGCCGTCGGAGCAAGCAGGCGGAGTCACTAAGGAAGATCTCAGAAAATATTTGGATTTGATTAGCAGGAAGTTTGTCAAATACTTTACCCCATAACCACACCAAAACCCACAGACCCACTGTGACCACCGCACAACCACTCCCAAACCTATAGAAATTCAAATAATTCATGCTAAACCATTGTCAAACCCAATTGAACCACGAAACCCACGCTACCAGGCACAGACCTGGTTAAGGAGCAGTTGGCCGGAATTTTTTTTATTTGAAAAGTTGCAATTATTATTTTTACTTTTTGTTAAAATTTTGAAAATGCAGCTTCTCAATTTGTAAAAATTTTTAAAATACCGCCTCAATTTGTAAAAATATCACACTTCACATTTTTTGCCCCCACTTAAATTTTTGGATACAAAAGATAACCCGTCACATTCATGATTCTCTTCACATCTATGGTAATCTAGAAATCACGAATATAGTTAAAAGATCAAAGAATATGAGTAAGACAAGGTACAAAAAATTAAATTCTTATATTTATTATTTTATTTTTTAAAAATTATCTTCAATTTTTTTTATTCTTCAACAGTGCCCCCCTCAAAAAAATTCCTGGTCCGTCACTGCACGCTACCACATCACCGCTACACGACCTTCTCCCCTTTGTTTGAAATCACACACATCAAACCCAATTGAACCCAAACTCAATGCCACTACCGCTTCTTCCTCTGACTCCTCCCTTCTCCATTGCTAACAACCCATGCACCGTGTGCGGTAGAGTGTCGAAACCTTTATGTTCATGAGATTCTTTATTGTAGTTTCTCGTTTTTCATTTTAAATGTTGGTCTGTCGTTGTTATTGAGGAGAAGACCATGTTCACCTGCTCTGGTTTCCCATGTCTTTTTCCCTTCTTCAACCGACCACTACATCTCCCGATGACGTTGTTTCCCGATCGGAGATCCATGGATGAGATGTTTTTGTGAGTGTTTGGGTGTAAGGTTATGTAGTGCTTGGGCGTGTGTAGAGTTATTAAAATGGTTGGGTCTATGGCTATAAAAGGGGTATTGTTGTCAATTAATGTTTATAAGGGTATTATAGTCCTTTAATTTTAAAATATTGGTCATGAACAGTAATATCCAACCTACCGATCACCGGATGGAGTCATCTGCAACATATATGTATAGTTATGGAGGTTTCTTACAATATTTGTAGTTCAGGGGTTTGTTGCAGGTTACCAATAATTCAGTTTTTTTTTTTTTTTTTTTTTTTTTTTTTTTGCTTTTTACTCCTAAAAAAAGAGTAAAGTGCAAAATATCTCCTAGAACTATTATTCTTTTGCAAATAACCCCTCTAACCTACAAATTATTCCTTTGAACTATTTAAGGACAAATACATTACAAAAGATTATTTTACCATTTCTCTTAAATTTGTCATTTCTTATTAACTAGGGAAAAAAAATGCCATTTCTTATTAAATTATTTTTATTATCTTTTCTTTTATCTAAATATTAATTATACTATTTACCTTAATTTTATTATTAGCATCAATTTATCATAAAAAATAAAAATAAAATAAAATAAAATAAAATAAATAGATTTGTAACTACCATTTTCTAAAACGATTAACTTATTACTAAAATTTTACTATATATAATAAAACTTATCATACTCAGTTTAAACTCTTTTAGCGTTAAAAAATAAATAAATTATTTTTTATACAATATATTCATGATAAAATAATAAATTACTTAAATCAAAAAATACATTCTTTTTAATGCAATATATTCATGAAAAATTAAGTAATTACTTAAATTGTTTTAAAATTTTCTACTTAAGAATTTTATTTAAACAATTAATTATAAAAATTAAAGGTAAATTTATGCAAATTTAATGGAAAATATGTTATCAAATTAGTATGAATTTTTTTTCATAATTTATTTCAATAAGAAAAAATAGATTAAGTGCAATTCAATAAGACCATCTCCAATACAAAATGCCATTTTTACATGCCAAATCTATATTTTGAGAAGAGTTACAATGTCAAAATATTATATTTTAGCAATTCTATTCCAATGATGCATTTAATCAAAAATGCTATTTTTTGACACAACAACCATAATTTTTCAACTACCATTCTCAACTACAATTTTCAACAACCATTTTTTTTTTTTTTTTTTTTTGAGTGCTTGTATTTTATTTAGGCAAAATTTAGCTTATTTGCCTTATTAAAAATAAATAAATAAAAACACTGACATATATATATATATATACAAGCACAACAGACATATATATACACACAACACTGACATATATATATATATATATACAAGCACAACTGACATATATATATATATATACACACAAGTACAACACCAAATTAGCATCTCAACACCAAATTGGTAGCCCATGCGAGAGAAAAGAGAGAAGGAATAGAGCAATAGCAGATTTGGCAACAGTCATATGTTGTGTTATATTTGGCACAACATTTGACAAAGTTATATTTTGGCAGCCCGTTTAGCATGCCATTGGAGAGCCCATTTTAAACCCACATGCTATATTTTTAAAATAATAGCGCAAATAACAGCACATTGGAGTTGCTCTAAGAAATGACATTGTGGCTATTTAATGAAAAATAGATTAGGCATTGGAGCATTTTGTAACAAAATGTGATATTTCATAGGGTATTATGCACAAAATATATTTTAAGGGGTTATTTACAAATTTGGACATAGTTCATGGTTTTTTTTGCACTTTACTCTTAAAAAAATAATAAGAGAACAGAACAAAACATCCAAATGATGAGGTCGAATCTAACATGGTTTCACCGCGTCATTATTTCCTAAGAGTACGTTTGGATGGAATGATTTGGAGGGAGAGTGAAAGAAAATAAAAGAAATGATAAGGCTTAAGTGTGTTTGAGTGGTTTAAAATAAGAGAAAAGAAAGGACAGGGAGAGATAGCTTATCCCTCATTTCCTATCTCTCAAAAAATGAAAAGATACGGAGAGAAAAGATAGTATTTAAATAGTATTTGCATAATTCCAAAAGTGCCCTCACTAATTAAAAAGAGAAAAATATTATTCC